CCGCCCCGGCCAGCCCCGCGGCGCAAGGGTCAGGCGGTGAGAGCAGGGAGTGAGTGCTAGTGGTTATCAACCTGTCCTTTGCTCCTGGCTGGACGAGGTTGTTCTGGGCAGCACTTCGTGCTGGTGCCTTTGCTGGACTTTTATTTGCAGAAGGTTTCAAGTGGGGAGGATGAGGAACAGGGGTTATTGGGGGAGGAGCAGAGACATCAGAAGGAGGAGGCTGCAGGGCAAATTTCCTGGGCGTTTTACCTTTGAAGCAATTTAAAAACATTAATCACATAGGCAGCGGATGGTTCCTAGAGCATTGCAGCCACGCTGCAGGCACAGTGGCTGGGGGAGGGGCGGGGCACCCCGCCCGGAGGGCTAGCAGCTGGGGAAGCGTGGCTGTGGCTGCAGGAGAGGGTTGGCAGCCAGCGGGCTCGCGTCTCCCGCTGCTTTCGAGGTGGGCACTGCCAGCAGTGAGAGCAAAGATGAGGCGTCGGGAGGTGTTGAGTGCATCGCTCATGCTGTGTGTTGGGTCTCTCCATGCTCCCCCACGGAGCCCTGCACCCCTGTGGCATGGCCCAGAGATGATGCCGTGGCGGGCAGCTCCCCACAGGCAGTGAGTCACAGGGAGGGGAAATGCCTGCCCTTGAAATTGTCACTGCTGCTGTAACCCATGGCAATACAACATGGAAAGTGAATGGCCTGTGATTTGCCCACTCTGTGGCAATGGGTCAGGCAGCCCTGGGACGTGGGGTCCTGGCTTCTTGTGGTTGCCACACGAAGCAGCTCCTGGTGGGTGGCTCTTCTCGGCATTGCCCCAAGTCTGCCGAGACCCAGGGCCTTGCGGGGAGCTGCAGGCAGCCCAGCATGAATGCCTTTGCTTTGCATCATGCTGAGGCGCTCCTGCCAGCCCCTGCCTGCAGCTGTGGGGCTGTGTGAAGCAGGGGCTGTTGCAGAGCACATTCCCTCTCTGCCACCTGCCTGCACATACGGAAGCATCCCAGATGCCAAGCACAGTGACTTGGTTTAGCTTCAGTCCATCTCCCAGGTGGCACAAGCTGACCACAAAGTCCCCTCTCCTGGCAGCATCTGGCAAAGGGCTGGAGCAGGGTGCCAGCACTCAGCCGGCGGGAGGATGATGCTTTCTGCCCACACCGTGGCTCTAGGGAGATGGGCAGACATCTGGCTGTGCAGACAGGCCTGGCAGGAGCTGGTTCCCCCCAGCCTCACCTCCTCTTACCTCATCACAGAGCGGCCTGTTGCTTTACAGCATTCAAGTCTGTGTCCCTGCCAGTGTCCCTGTCCCTGGGGCTGGCGAGTGCCTCCCCAGAGCAGAAGCAAGAGGGTGTAAGAGGGGTGGGAAGGGATGCTGGAGGCAGTGGTGGCAGCCCAGCCCAGGGCTACTGGCTACACGATTCTTATTCTCATTCTTCCTCTTGGTCTGTCCCCCACCCTCACTTTCATCCCCTCCTTCCTTCCCCCTCCCTCTCTCTGCAGTGCCTGTCTCAGTGTCCCGTACCTTCGCCTTCAGCAGAGGGGACTCCCTGGCTGGCTCTCCAGGTAATGGGGGATGGCTTTGGGCAGGGACCTCTGCATGCACCAGGCTCGCTCCAGCTCCCTGTGCACGGTCCACCAAGCCCCCTCCACCCTGCGTGCCAGGCAGTGCCAGGAGAGAAGCACCCACAGCACCCTGCACCGGGCAGCTCCTCACTGGTTGGAGCATGGGTAGCAAATGGGGGACAGCAGCCTTGTCCCTGCTACAGCCTCCCCAGTAAGATGCAAATCCTAGGAAGAATGGAATGGGGACAAGGGCTTGGGCTTGCTTTGGTGTGCAGTTTCTGTAATTTCCTGCACTCAGTGCTTGGGTTTTCTTGCTACTTGCTGCTTCTGATGATGGTTACCCACAGTCCTGCATGCATGCTGCCCTACTTACTTTACTTTCTGGCAATCCGGGTAATAGAAGGGCATTTTAGCAGCAGAGCAAAGTCAGCAAGGTGTTGATATCACCCATGCGAGGAACAAACTGCCTTTGTTCCCTAATAAATCCCTGACCAGACAAAATCCATCATGCCATGTGTCAGAGGCCATCAGTCAACGTGAGTGACGGGCCAGCTTGCGGTGGCAGCCTCTGCTCGTGTTCTGTCGGAGTCAGGGTGGACGGGAGCCTGCCCTTGAGGCAGGTTAAGTAACCCCTGGCGGGCCGCCAGCTGCAACCAGGAGAATTTGTGCCAAATGCCGTGCAGTGCAGAAGGCCTGCGTTAGCAGGAGAGCTGTCAGTCAGCTGGTGTGACAGGCAGGCAGCAGCAGCCCTAACCTCTGCTGCCGGCACCAGGTCGGATGCCTGCCTGCCCAGCCCCTTTGGTTTGTGCAGGCACAGAGCCTCCGCCACCAGCATGCGCCAAGGACCCCACCACAGGTCCCCATAGGCCCCCTGCCAGTCCAGGAGTGCGTGCGGCACAGCCACCGGAGGTGACCGGTCCACCCCGGCCCTGCGCTGGCACCGGGGACGCGATCAGCACCGCAAGTGAGAGTGAGCGTTTGCCTCTCTGCCGTCCCTTCCTGCAGTGAACAGGTCACCATCGCGGTGCAGCGGGCTCAACCGCTCTGAGTCCCCCAACCGGGAGCACAACGACTACGGGGGCAGCACCACACAGCTCCACAGCAGCAGCAACAACATCTACACACCCGACTACTCCGTGCACATTCTCTGCGACGTGCAGTTTGTTAAGGTACCATCTGGGCTGGCAGGGACTGTCCCACCCCGGCCACTCCTGCCCAGGCACCCTCTTGCCCCACTGTGCCCCAGGAGCCTGGTGGGTGCCCAGTGGGCACTGGGGGGTCTTGCATTCCTGTTGCCCAAGGGTTTGGTGCCACGAAGTCCCCAGGAGGTCCCAGTGGGACTCGGTGCCCGCTGAGCTGGGCGCGTGTGTCTGTGTGCACAGGTCACCCGGCAGCAGTACCACAACGCGCTGGTGGCCAGCCGCATGGACAGCTCGCCCCAGTCCCCTGACATGGAGGCCTTTGACAGGGATTCAACCAAGGCCTCGACGGCACGGGGAACCCCACAGACACCCAAGGAAGATGCCACCACCCTCCTGAATGAGAGGAACAGCATCACATGTAAGTCACCCAGCAGCATCCCTTCCCTGCCATGGGCCAACGCTGCATGTCCCCTGAGGCGGGGTGTGCTGGTACCCGCCAGCATGACACGCATGCCACCGCTGAGACGCAGTTGCACATGGCCCAGGGCATGTGGGCATTTACACGCAGACACCTGTGGATGCTGTTCTGCGCCTGCACACGCACACAGGTGTAAGTGTGCAGGCACGTAAATCCCCGTTCCCCACACGTTCGTGCTCCCTGGGCGTTCCTGGTGCTGGAACCTGCTGCTGTGGCAGGCGTCCCCCTGTGTCCTGCCCCAGGGCACAGCGCCTGCCTGCCCTGTGTCCCCACAGGCAGCCGCTCCGAGGGGCTGCGCAGTCCCAGCGAGTCGGTGTTCCTGCGCATGGAGAGCATCCCCTTCATCCAGGAGGAGCTGGCTGACAATGAGGAGAACAGCAAGCGGCAGAGTGAGTCTGGCCCAGGGGGACACATGACCCTGGGGGCAGCAAGGGCTGCGGTGCCCCAGGGCACTGCAGCCAGGCTGGGCTTTTGCAGGCAGTGAGTGCTGCGGCACCGTCCTGGAGGCAGAGTCCCCGGACAGAGAGGCTGGGGCCAGCTCATCGCCAAGCAGCTCTGAGGAGACGCTGGGCAGGAGACTGCTGAGATCCCTCAGTGAGTGACTGACCTGGGGAGGGAGCACCCAGGGGAGAGCTCTGCCCCGGCACCCCACTGCCCAGATCAGCTGCTCCCCAGCCCCATCCTGGGGACACCCTGCATGGGGCTGGCATGAAGCAGGGGGACAGCCCAGGTCCCTGGCAGTACCCCAGCAGCAGGCAAAAGTGCACCTAGGACTAGCTCAGGCAGAGCCAGCTGCCTGGTCCTGGCCTGACCCCATGCACCCCCTACCCTGAGCACCCTTGGCCCCCAAGCACCCAGCCCTAGGCACCCTTGCTGCTGCAGGTGGGCGCAAGCAGCGGCTGTCGCCGGAGGGGGAGAAGACGCCAGAAGAGAACTCCAATCTCGGCCCATTAATCACCTGATCAGCAGCGTGGCCGGAGCACAGTGCTGGAGGCCCACGCAGACTGGAGGTAGGAACCTGCCTCTGTGCAATACTCCTTCCCCAGCAAATGGGAGGTTGCTCAATTTTAATAGCATAAAATCAAGTTTCAAGCAGCAAAGCCAACCAATGCGGTTTGGAGCCCACACGTCGCTGGGGGCTGGAGCAGGGTCAAGGGATGCAGCAGCAGACTGACCATCCTTAGGGCAGGAATGGATTTTGGAGACAGAGTGTGACCCTGACTGGTGTTTTCACAGCTAGAAATGTATGTCCGCACCAATATCCCCAAGCTGGGCTAGGAAAGGTGCTGCAGGTTTGAGCAGCAGCAGGTCAGGAAGGGCAAGCTCTGGCTGCCTGCACCAGGCTGCGCTTGTGTCTTCCAGGTCTGCAGCATGGGGGTCTCCTGCCACAAGGCTCATGTTCAACAGCAGCAGGTCTGCACTCGCTCGCTGCCTGCCCGCCCGCCTGCCCGCTCATGCCGCCCCTCCCTGCAGGACTTGTGCAGAGCCCCATCCCCAGGCGAGAAAGGATGTGCCCCCGGCAGGGCTGAACCACCCAGGCGGCCTGGACCAGCTAGCTGGAGTCCGAGGGCCCTTGCCCAGCTGCTCCCCGGTAGCATCTGGTCTCAAGGAAGAGGTGGAGAAAGGAAAGGTGGAGAAGTATCTGGCACAGCATCCCTGCGGGCAGAGCAGGGAAGGGCGGCCCAACCCAGAACGGCCCTTAGCATCATTTACCATCCCCATCCCAGCAATGCCTAGAGCCCCTCGGTGCTGGGTGCTGCACAGACGTGGTCTCCGCCATAAGGAGAACGTGCTATTTGGGGGGTGCCACACGCAGCTCAGGGCCCCAGCACACGTTTGTGCCGTGCCTAGTGACATGCATATTCACAGCACCTTGCGCACGCTGACCATTGACACAACCTGGCACGCCCAAACCCCTCCTAGGCACAGGGCAGGGAGCCCAGCTCGCTGCCGAGCACAGCCCCCCTCCCTGGGGAGGGCCGCTGCACCCTGCATTGAACCATCCTCCTCTCTGCACATGGCTGCCTGCGCCGGAGAGGCTTGTGCCGAGCCTTCAGGTTGGTACAGACCAGTCAGTAGTTTTTGTAGAGGCTGAACGCAACGGGGATATTAACATTAAAAGTGATTTCTCCCTGAGCAATGCCCTGTCTGTGTCAACGAGTATAGGGCAAGATGCGTCAACCTCTCCCACGATGCTAGGCTGCCCTCATACCTGCAGCCAGAAGTGGCTGGAGTAACAGGACTCAGCATCGCAGAAGAGAGCAGGTAGAGGACCAGGTCAGCAAGCACTCCCCAATTTCTCCCTGTGAACCTAGGCTCTCTGTCACTTTTTCTGCCAGGAAAGCACTCGGCAGTGCTGAGAGTTACACTATAGCAGTGCAGACAAGGACAAGAAGAACAGGAGTTAATATCATGCCGTTGCAAACACAATAGTGGGATACATATGCTGGAGTACAGCCTGACAGATAACAGAAGAAATCTCACAGTTCACCAATGCTGATAAAACTTCAGCTGGAATAATTGCATCCCTGTCTGGGCACTGCTCTTCTAAGGAAACACACAGTAATTGAAAGGAGGCCAGAGGAAAGCCAGGGCTGGAAAACAACCTACCCCAAATGCTGAAGGAAACAGGATCACATAATCTTAACTGGTGAATGATATAAAGGGGAGAGAGGAAGTTTTCAAATACATAAAAAGCTGTTGCAAAGAGGAAAGGAATAATCTGTTGCCATGGTAAGTGGGATAATGGGTAATGAGCTTACACTACAGAAAGGGAGAAATTTAGGTCACTCCTTAGGAAAAACAAGGCTCGTAAGGCTAGCAAAGCACTGGTACAGATCACGTGTGGGGTGGGCCAGGCTCCACACCTAGAGGTCTGTAAGGACAGAAGTGTAGGCAGATGTCAGAAATAACAAAAGGAGAGTTGGTTCCTTCAACTCATTCTCCTGCAACCACCCATAGAAGTCATCCTTTAACCACTACCCCGTCATCCCAAATGTGGCTGGACACCAAGAGGAGAAAAAGCTCCCCACCTGCACAGAGGAAAGGCTGCCTCTGGCTCACTCAAACACTAATCTGAAAAGGACAAATGAGGCGCCATGCACTGTCTCTCTGCAAGCACAGCAAGGGAACAAGGCACTATTTTCTCCTTCACTAAGTTGCAGCACAAGCAAAATCCAAGAGCAGCAGTGACTATCACTGACCCAAGGAAAGGGGCCGTTCCCCTTTCTCCACCAAGATGGCAGCAGGAGGCTGCTCTGTCAAGGTAGTAATATCAGCTCACAAATAGACCTGCAAACAGTGACTGCAGAGAGCAAAAACAGATGGTCCCAGCTCTTTTTCAGTGCCAGAAACACAGGCTGTTGCTGGCAGGCCCTGCTGAAGCCAGGGGGAGTAGGTGGTGGTTCACCAGGGTCCTGCTGAGAAGGAACAGGAAAGATCTGCTTTTTGACACATTAGCAGCAGGCCAGGAGCTCCAGGCCAGGTATATGATCAACACACAACTATCCAGAAGGCAAGCACATACAGAGAAACAGGGAACAGGATGGGCCAGACAGCACAGGGCAGGGTGCAGAAAGAGGGACACAAGATAGACGTAGAAGGAATTGGTCAGCTTCACGTAAAGTCACAGGGAGCTCTCAACTACTCTCCCAATAGGACTGTGCCCCATTAGTAACAACCGTGATCCTCAGAGATGCAACACAGCACGGAGGAGAAAGGGAAAGTCTTGAAATAAACTAAGACCCAGTGGACAAACCATGATGCTGAGCCTTTAGTCTCAGCCTGGTAAGAAGCTAGCACAGCCTGAAGGCATGACATCACACAAGGCAGGGGTAGTGTTCAGAGATGGAGGTTTAATTTTCTGTCAGCAACACAAAGAAGCCATTATCACAATTACGAATGTTTGCTCGCATAAGGCTCAGAACCAGGTGGGGGAAAGCCAGCAACAGCTTTGCCCCTCCCCAAAATACTACTGAGTGACACTCACAAGCTGTACAAGATCGCAGCTGATTGGGCTGTTATCCCACAGCACATTGCACTGGCACCGGACTTCATCTAGATCAAACTGATCAGTTACATGGAGTTGATTTGGATGTACTAAAGATGCAGCTCTAAGTGCCTGAAGACCAGGCTGCTGTTAGTCAGACAAGAGCCAAGGCAGCTCATGCTGCCCCCACCCCTCCTGGGGGCACTGGCTTACCATATTGCAAGGGGTATTTCAGAAAGGTCAAAAGATGATTATCCCTGATTGAGCTACTGCTGCCATCTTTATTAAATCCCAAGAGGTATGGAACAAGGCAAGCCATGAGCAGGGAAAGACATAGACTACACACTACAGCTTTGGTGACTTCATGTAAGTTTGGTTGTTCATGTGCTTCACTGGATTTTTGTGACGGCTTCATGGATGGACTTGGCCACATAGTCCAGGTTCTTGGTAGTCAGGCCACACATGTTGATGCGCCCACTAGCCATCAGGTAGATGTGTTTTTCCTTGATCATGTACTCCACCTGCTTAGCTGGGGAAACAATTGGACATCAGGTCGGAGCAGTGACCCCATAGCTCAGAAAAGCCCAAAGAACCAGTCAGGGCTGCTTGAATATTTCACAACAAGCAGAAAGCTTCCAGCACTGGCCACTAAAATGCTGCCTGATGCTTCATCCCTGCCTAGCCACAGAGGCAGTGATACCAGGACTCCAGTGAGGTCCCCGAGATTCCTGCCTGGACTGCTTCAGCCCAGTTCACCGCCAGGAAAACTGTCCTCACCCAATCCTCCCTTCACCAGGCCACTTGGTACTTACGGTTCAACCCAGTGAAGCTAAACATGCCGATCTGCTCGGTGATGTGGTTCCAGGTGCCGGGGGTCCCCAGGGACTCCAGGCGAGACCGGAGCTCTGACCGCATGAGCAGGATCCGACCTGCCATCGTCTTCACATTGTCCTTCCTGCAGCAGGCAAGAAGCAGAGCATGAGGACAGGCACCTGTCTGCTTTGGAGCCATCTGGCCAAGCCTGGCACTCAGGGAGACAGCTTCCCCCGAGCCTTGGTGACACGTACCACTCGGCAAAGAGCTGTGGGGAAGAAAGTGTAGTTGCCACAATGCGTGCTCCCTGGGAGGGAGGGTTGGACCAAGTGGTGCGCACAATCTTCTCCATCTGGGACAGCACACGCTGCACATTGTCTGCATCCTTCCCCACCACAGTCAGGTTCCCCACACGTTCATCTGTGGACAAGCCAAGAGTCATGAGCCATTGGTCCCACACACCACAGCAAAGCAGAGTTCTTCCCACCCCCCAGCATGCCAGCCCCATCTGTCTGGGTATGATGCTACTGGGCCAGCTTACTGCCAGACACTCACTGTAAAGCCCAAAGTTCTTGGAAAATGACTGTGCACAGAAGAGCTCAAAGCCCTCGGAGACAAAGTACCGCACAGCCCAGGCATCCTTGTCCAGGCTGCCAGAGGCAAAACCTTGGTACGCCGAGTCGAAGAACGGAAACAGGAACCGTCGCTGCAAGGAGGAACAGTGTTAGAGGGAAACCCCTTCCCCACAATCTTCACTTCACCCCCCGCTGTCCCCGTAGCAGGGAAAAATGACCATTGAGTTTCCGGGTGGATACAAAGGAAACATGGTCTGGCAACACCAGACTGGGATGTTTTCTTTCTACTGGGGTAAAGGAATAGGAAGACTAAAGTGGTCAAGAAAAGGTCAAATGCAGGAGAAAACTGCATTTGAGGACACAGGCACAAGAGAGGCACCGCCTTATATGCTACTATGCAGCACCTGGGAAAAGCATGTGCCCATGGAGAATCTTTCCAGCATGAGAAACCTCACTGCAGCCCATGCCACAGAGTTTGAAAGCAAGATCTTAGAGGCAAGGAGAACTGGGATGCTTCTATCCTCTAAGCACAGACAACCAGCATCCTGTCAGCCTCTCCCTTCAACACCTGCCCTGTGGGTCTCTT